TCTTGATGAAGTTATTTTATCCTTCGGTTTTCAAGTTAAACCAATGTGATAAATGTGTTTATAGTAGATTTGATGATGTTATTGGTGCATGAGTGATCATTTTCCTATATGTGGATGACATGCTGATTTTTGGTATTAACCTATATCAAATAGATGAAACAAAGAAATTGTTGCCGTCTAAATTCTCCATGGAAGACTTGGGAGAGGTTGGTTAATTCTTTGTATAAGGATTAAGAGGTTGAACAAGGGAATAGTAATGATTCAAATTCATTATGTTAAGAAAATTCTCAAACAGTTCAATTTTAGTGATTGTTCTCCCGTGAGCACTCTCATAGATTCTAGTGTGAAATTAATGCCTAACATTGGCATTCCTATTTCACAATTAGAATACTTTAAGGCTATTGGTAGCTTGATGTATGTTATGACAAGTACTAGGCCTGACATTGCTTTTGTTGTGGGAAAGTTGAGCAGTTACATTAGTAATCTTAGTGCTCAACATTGGCAAGCAGTTAATAGAGTGTTTAAATATATCAAGGGAACCATGGGTTATTGGTTGAGTTACTTGGGAAGTCCTTCTGTTTTAGAGGGTTATTCGGATGCAAGTTGGATAACCAACATGGAGGATCATTACTCAACTAATGTTTGGGTATTCTTGCTTGGGGGATGTGTCATTTCCTGGGCTACCAAGAAGCAAACTTCCATTACAAACTCGACAATGGAATCTGACTTTGTTGCGTTAGATGTTGTTGGTAAAGAAGCATATTGGCTAATAAATTTAGTCTATGAGATTCCTTTGTGGTCAAAGCCGATAGCACTCATATCTATCCTTTGTGATAATGCAACTGCCTTGGTTAAGACGTACAGCCAGGTTTATAATGGCGAGTCTAGACACTAAGGTGTTAGATATAGTATGATTAGAGAACTAATCATGAATGGTGTGATTTTGGTTGAGTTTGTGAAATCACAACAAAATTTGGCATATCACTTGACTAAAGGTCTGACAAGAGACTTAGTGCATAAGTCTGTTATTGGGATGGGATTAAAGTCCATCTAATTTTGTAATTGTGAGAAACATAATTCCCTTCTAATATGATATCAGGAGTTGAATTCAATGTAGAAATCTCACACTTGTAGATTAGAACACATAAAGTATACATCCTAAGTATGTGTTCAGTTTTATAGTTGACCAGGTTGAAGTTTAACTTCTTAATAATTCCTTTTGATGAAATGTATGTGCAGATATATGAAGTAAAGGAATTACATATGTGATTGTGAAGTGTAGCCGCATTTCAAGAGGTTAGAGCTTGGCCTTGATAATTCAATCGTCTCGAAATTTTCATTTATGTACTGGTTTGGTTTGTTTAGATAATTTTATGTTATTTCATGGGTTACACTAAAATGGGGGTGGGGGGGATTGTTGGTGATTTTGGTGTCACCAGGCATTTTATGTAATTGGAACTAATATGTGAGCTAAGGGGTTATTATTTGTACACTATATTATATGTTTGGTGCATGCATATATAAGATCGAATTATAAGCCAATACGACAGAATGGCGGGGGTCAAGGGAGTCACGCTCCTTTGCAAGGTTCGAGAGGCAGCACCTCAAAAGGTCTTCGGGAAATTGAATTAGTTTCTTTATGGAAAATCAGAATTCTAAAGGGTGATTATGGTAGATCGACAAATCTCGTTAGTTTTGGAAACCATTAATTAAGCCATTAAATTTGTGATTCTCTTAACTAATTTAGAACATGGAAACCCTAATCTATCAAAGTATAAATACGACTCCTCTATTGAGCCGTCACTAGAAGTCTAGAACCTAACGAAGCTCTCTCTCTCTCTCTCTCTCTCTCTCTCTCTCTCTCTCTCTCTCTCTTCTAGAACAATCTTAGAACTCACTAGCAATTTTGGCTCACGTTTTCTATGCCTAGATTCGTGAGTGTCCCTTTGAATTATCGTAGAATGAATTTCTTGTAACTCGGATATAAGGTAGAAATATCAGTTCACCATAACCCTACTATACGTCTATACCTCCAACATCTTCTTGGATCCCATTTGTTTACATATACCATTAAAGTGGAGCAGATCAGTAAAATTCATCTACATCCTATGGTTGTTTAACTTTAACTTATATCGGTCTAATGATCTCGAACGGAGAGGCTTATTTATCTTAATATATGTTATGTATTATTATGTGCTTATCCCAAATAAATCCCAACACTTGTAACATGTTTCTTTAAGGGCTTTGACATAGAAAGAACCAACGTGCCTTGTTTCAAAAGATTTGTTGAATTGATGTCTTTTATGGATAGTGATGTCAATCATAACTCAAAACACGATAGTTGTTCCTCGTCGTGCAAAGTCTTGTGTGGTTTTAAAATGGCAAATTCTTATGCCATCCTTTTATGCATTTGCACATATTATTCTAGGAGATTAAAAAATATATAAAAAAACAAAACACTAGTAAATTATTCCTTTCACCATTCAAATCAAGATAATTAATAAGCCTTTTTACGTGGAGCTCAAAAGTAGCTCACATGACTGTTTTTCACTTGTGAGAGTAAAAAGTTATAATAAACAGAAACCATAAACCCTCCAAGATAATTAGTGTCAGATATCAAACCATTTTGATCGCAAAGTTAAGGGTCCATCTTTTACTTACAAGAGTAGAACTAATAAAGTACGCACCTCATATTTATAAAGAAAATACTGATTGTATTGGTCCACAAAAAAATCTACATTGTAAAATACACACACAAATTCAACTTGAAGATTAAAGTATAATAATAGACAAGAAAGAAATACCACATTAATGTGGTGTAGCTTTGCTAATTAAATACCCATGTTGAGTTGATAGGAAAAGAGCATATATAATTAATTCTTTTAAAGGCTTGACATGAAGAACTAAAAGTTGGGGAACATATTGAATCTTTCTCTATGACTTTGGGCTACGAATAGCTCTATTTAGTGCCCTACAAATCCTTGGAAAGAAGTGAGTGAGCAGATCTTGACAAGAACCCATTAACAGATTTCGCTTTTGTTTAATCAAATCATTCTTTACTCCAATATACTTTGTTCCATTCTCACTAACCATTTATGTCGTGTTTTCTCTTGCGTTCGCTTTTCTCTCAATTCCCTAGTTCTATTCCAATTTTCGAAGAGAAGAAAAAGTAGGGGTGACATTGTGTAGCTACAGGTAGATAAGAGAGACCCTACCAATTTATATGATAGTCCAATCATACATATAGCTAACATAATGGTTCTCTTTGTCATCTAAGTCAAAGTAAAAAAGGTCATTCATATAATTGGATGCCATGTGGTATTGTGTACATATAGTTTACAACACAAAAGTCTATATCAAACAAGTTTCAACAAATTTTACTATTTTATTTTACTGGGTGTTTAGATTGTTCTGTTTTTTATTTCATATAGATTGTCCCATATTATAAGATCCGAGAAGTAAAGGGTTTGGTGAAACATCCCTACTAGTTTACTTGGCAATGTGAAAGTATGAAATCGGTGCTTTTAAATTATAATAGATCTTGGTGGAAAATAAACCTGAAATTGTTATGTTCAAAGAATGTGATCCTTACAAGATAATAAGAACTAAAAGTGTAAATATATGTGAGGAGCCAAAGATTGTCTCTACAAAAAAAAACATATAGAGAAGACTCCAACATATATATAGCCACTTATAAGACCATGTCGCACCAATATGAGATATACTAACAAAAAACTAACTACCGATAAGCTAGCTTGATCAGGCAGCTCAAGTCATTCAAGTCTCACTTGAGACATAGACGGTAGTTAGAGTAGATTAGTTTGTTGTTTACAAAAATAAGGTTAGGAATATTATACATTGTAATTCAAATGATACCTAACGTGTATGAATAAGAGAAATATATAGGCACTACCATATTGTGTATAACTTTAGCCATTCGAAAGCATATCTTTGTGCCTTTGTGTGAAAACTGTAAAGTTGGTGTCAATGGCTTTATTTATGTGTTTCCTTTGTTTTTGCTTTAGTTGGACCCTTGGAATCCAAACCAACTGTAGTAGTAGCATACAAGCCAATAATCAAATAATCGGGAACAATACTAGAAAGTGGGCTCATACTGTAATTTGTCACATGTTTTTTTACGGGCTATGGTAGCAGACTAATAATAGCATCCTCAACATAAAATGTCAATGTATTATGTTGATCCCTTGGATTTTTGTGAAGCTGAAAATATCAGTTGTCAGAAAACGCGTATTCTTGATATTGTTGCATATTTAGATTACAGTCGATGCTATTTTTGAATTGTAACGAAACATGTAAGGTTACCTAAAAATGTTTTACTTTATATGTATAAAGATTTAGATTTCAAAAATAGGTCTATATTCCAACATTAGCTTTTAAGTATTTCCGACTTTCTATTTTCTTGATCTATTCTTATATTTTATATATTAAGATCGATTTAGATTTGTGTCGATAGTTTTCATAATTCAAATGTTTATAATTTTGGTTTCAAACATTGTGTAGAGTGGTATATAACTATATATAGTACAAAATTCTAGTACTTAAATTTGTCATATAAGGTAGAATGTTGAGAAACATTTTGTACTTTTTTTCCTTAATGTTATTACATTGTGTTGGAAAACTTGTATTTTCTTAATCACCAAATACGGGTTTATTATGCAATGGATCACATAACATCTAGTTAGAAGTTTGAACTTTGAAGGATGTTTTCTGGTTACTGTGACTTTTGAGAAAAGTTTGGAATAAATCTCAGTATAATATGTTTGTGGTGTTGTTTCCTCGAAAACAGACATGCTGTGTAGTACTTGTATTTCTGCCTTTTTGGTTTGATCATATTTTCTTTATAATCTTAATTGTAAGCAGTCTAGAAGAAATGTGGCAAAAAAACATTTTAGCAAAACATATTATATATAATTAAAAACGATTTCATTGGATTTTTTTCAATATGGAACAACAACAAACGAATGTTAAACAGGTATTTGCAGCACAAGAAGTAGGAACTACATGTGGTTATAATTATGTCAAGAGACCATAAAATTTCTAGTGTAAATGTGTGATTTAAAATTGTATCCGACAATATGTGGCAACAGATACTTCCGTCACATTTAATTTATTGTCAACATCCTGATTTTTTCAACCCATATCGCCAGTTTAATGTTGAAGCATAATAGCTGAAGAGATACAAAGCTTATACTCGATGGCACATTTAATGTAATGTACCTAAAAAGGAGGGAGTTATATATGCTGTATATTCTTATAGAACATCAAAAATTATAAGCTAATATTCTAAAAAGTTTAAACCAAAAATAAAATTCAAAAACAAATCTAACTACACAAATCCAAACCCATATTTTCAAAGTTCAAACCTCACAAAAGACATCAAGATTTTCGCCACCTTCAATTCCCCTCACTCACTCACTTATTTTACTTCTGCTTATGATGGCTGCAAAAGCATAAATAAACAATGAGATCTTAAACACTCGAAAATATTATTTTATTATTTATATAAAATCCCAAAGTATTAAGACTAACCGAGGAAGGAGCTGAATGAGTTAAGCCTTGGACTGGAGACTGGATATTGTAGACCTTAATATCTCGTCCCCAACTATTGATCTCAACTTCTTAATAAACTCTTCACGGCTTGTTTTCTTTCCCTACATATAAAAAATCATTTATGAATTCAAAATGATTTGATACAACAGATGATGATGAGTGTATTTGTACATGTATGTACATACCCTAAGAGATTCATACAAGATACGGACTAGCTTCATGTCAGCTGGAGCTACTTTATCTGAAATAGCTTCAAAAAGCTTTGAGAATGGCATCCATGGGGAATTAGGAGCCCTAGAGGTGCTTGATCCAACACTAGCCCCCTTTTCTAAAGACATAGGAGACGCTTTCCCACTTTGAAATTGCATTTCATTCTTTCCCTAAAAAAAATTTAAAAAATAAAAAATAATAACACAAAAGAATAGATACAATCTTGAAAATATGATAATATCACCTTCCAGTCACACAGATTTTTAAAGGCTAAATAAGCTTCCAGTCAAAAATGTTTAATGTTATCTTGTTACCCTTTAGCAAGTCAAAATACTCACCAATTTAAGTGGGGAGGAATCTATCTTTAAGGGTCCATGGGGAGGTTGAGTTGTTAACTTTGACATGTCAACCCTACTTCGCTCTATAATCAGATTCCCTGTTGTATTATCATTCAGGAATATAATTAATTATAAGGTCTCGCCTCTCGGATGATATACTGATGGGTTATTTTGTATTCATATTCATAATTTAATTATAAAAAATAAAAAAAAATAAAAAAAAAAAATACTACCTTGAGCAGTAAGACTAGGAGACATCTTAAAAGTGAGTGTGTATTCCGGATAGATATGTGTATTCATATTCATATTCCAAACAACAAAATGATTTGGATTTTCCAGATTATCAACTCCACTGTCAAAGCACTCATCACTCGGGTAAAATTGTTTAGACCCCGGTAAAACAACTTCCATATTTCCCAATATTACACGGCATAAAACCATGCACTGTATTTGTATTTCTACCCCTTTTTCGTCAACATCACAAATAATATCTTCACTGAAACACCACCAAAACATTAGATCTTTTTCTTTCTCTTTTTCTTTTTCTTTTCTTTTTTTTTAAATAAATATCCCAAATAACATAAAGCTTATAATTATATAACACCCGTACCTGTTGTGGGCAGAATGGACAGCTGTAAAGTGGACCCCATAGCCATACCTTCCAAGTTTTAGCCCATCATGTCCTAGCCCATAAACCCCAGTGGTGGAGGTGGAGGTGGACCCCACAGGGCTTGCAAACCAACCGTATCTGACATTCGCGTTTCCACGTACTTTTTTAGTAATTTCAGCCTGTGCATGGAAAAGATCTAGCTTCGATTCCATAATACCACCACTACATTTCTTCACTTCAATTATATCAACCTTCAAGCCTTGACTTTGACTTTGACTTTTCATAAACATATTTCTCACTGTTTCTTGATCCAAAGTAGGGGATGCAGCATCTTCTTCATCAATCTGTATTTTCTCAACACATTGGTCAGCTTTTGCATCTAGATGGTTTTTTGTTTGACCTTCCTGGTCAATTTTGACCCTCTTAACGTTTGACTCTTCCACACATTCTTCCAAACTATTGTTACTTATTTCGTTTAGTTCGATCTCAACATGCAACTTAATTTCAGGGTCTATTTCAATTTCACTATCTTTCTGAATTTCATAACTTTCAGGGAAAAAACAGCTACCTTTTTCATCAATCCATGCTATCGGTTTTCGGGCCCCGTTTTTCAAATCTACTTCATTCATATGTAAAATATCTAACATTAGCTGACGCCCATTAAACTTCACCTCAAAAGCTGTTGTTTTTGCCATGAAGTGTTCTTTAACCAAGTCAATAACATCTTGGGAGAAATCATTCCATTCACCACCTTCAGAGAAAAGGACACGTTGAGGGAGTCCACTTTTCATAAAATTTGAGTAGTTTTTTAGTAAAATTTTTGAGGAAGAGGAGCATGTGGACTTGAAGCTATTATTATTGTCTCTCTTTCTCTTTAGATTCTTGTTCAATATTGATGCAAAACCAGGCCTCACAACACCTAAAGCCCAGTTGCTAGATCTGGCTATTTGAGATAAGTGCTTCCTCTTTGAAGTAACAATGACCCGACTACCAGTGTTGTTGTCTGATACTTTAACCCATTTTGATGCCATTTTACCTACACGCTTAGTAGTTGTAGTAGTAGTAGTAGTAGTAGTATTTACACAAGTCAACCTAAAGTCACCTATCTAGAGCAATTTACTATACTCAAAATGAGGTGGAGAAGGAATTGCAAGTCCTGCATAAACAGAACCCATTACAATGAGTTACTTTTTAAACTATAGTGATATAAAGAAAAAACAGTGTCAATGAATGATGTACAATTGTCTGAAGAATGATAAGACAAAGTGAAAGCATAAAAGAGAAAGATGAAGCTAAACTTTGCCTAAACAAAGAAGTTGGCAGTGAAATTTCATTTTTTTTTTCATGTTATAAAAATGCTACACCTCCCAGTAGAGAAGAAAATTTATTTTAGTTATTTATTTTTTTAAAAAGTGGCAACTGAAATAATATGTGTATGTATCCACAAAGTAATCCTGCACATAAAAGATACTCGGTTAGAGCATATACAGAGCAAAAGTTGAGCTTCTGAGAGTTTAATCACTAGCAATAAAAACTCTTTATACAGGAACAATTGCTTTGAAGAACACCTCAATAAAGACAAAAGTGATTAATTACTATTATAACCAAAAGATGATCAAAGGAAAACATTAAATTAAGCAGATTGAAGTTAAGAGAGCATACCATTTCTTAAAATTGGCTTCAGTTCCGCATAATGCGGCCATTTCCCTTCCATTGCTTGAGATCCACAAATTCTTAATCCTACCATAAAGTAATTACAGCTCTAACAAGTACTACACTAAAACACAAAACTTTCATCAGCACATATATGTAGGAAAATGTTAAATTGAACCATGGCTCCTTATGTTGAAGTTAGGAAGTCTTGGTGTGAAGAATATTTTGCAGATTAAATTGTCTATGTCACTGGGATTACAAAGGAATCATGTTAAACAGTTGTTTCAATGTGTACACTTCTTTTGAGAAATATTATTTTAATGAAAACAAGCATAAAACAGTTGTTTCTTTTTGATGTGATGTCTGTAATCCTCCATTTAATTCCATCTATGTCAAATTAAAGCCACACATATGTGGATCCAACTCACAAATAAGTGGCATCGCTAAATTTTACACTATGACTCGCAAAAACAAAACAGCAAACAATAATAAAATAATTGGAAACATCAAATTTTCATCTTCCTAACCCTAGAAAAATCTTGGACAACAGTTTACCCACATAATTTTTAGTCAAACTCAAGGATAAGCTGATACTAAACAAAAACGAAAGAAAACAATAGTTTAAATAATTGTTCAACAAAAAATACTGAAGGATTCATTTGATTTAATCTGGGAAGAGTTTGATAAAAAAAATTATATAAGCTGCCGGTTTTAGTGACGGATCAAACCATATCTTCCCACAAAACACTCAGATATCACATTAAAACACAGTTCAGTACGGATCTGTCAAAGATCCTAAGCAATACCATCGAATCCGGAAAAAAGGCATCAATTCGATCAAAAGAACTTACCAACAAAAGAACTATATAGCCTCAAGCATAAATCACCTACTTCCGATGGGTATCGATGAACAAGATCAATCTACAAATCGATCGTTAACTAGGTCGTCGTTTCTGCAAACGACTAAAAAGCCCAAAGTTGAATTTTGGGAAGCAGAACGCCAAGATAACAAGACAGCGACGTTAGAGCGGAGATGACTTGGAATTGATTGGGGTTTATGTATGTATGTTTTGTGTGAAATTATTGAAAGGGTTTTGCTTGGCGGAAAAGAAAACAGAGGAGAGAGAAACGTCGGCGAGGTCGCAATTCGGCCTTCGGGTTCCGGGGAAAATTATGTGAGATGATTTAGGGGTAGTTGTGGAAGAGACGTGACACGACGACGTTTCAATGTGTACTAATTACCAAACAGGCCGTTTCTGACTTTGTAAAGATTACCTTTCACAAAATATGGAGTAAACTACAAGTTTTGTCCTTTTTTGTAGAGTTTATATTTTATGTGCCATGTGATACAAAAATAAATTGTGTTACTATACTTATGATTATGGTTTTTTTTATTTTAGATTTGATTCCATGAGACTTATTCCATCTACCTTCTCTTTATTACTTATGAAATGATCATTTTTTTATTATATTTTTTATAGTTTTTAGACTAGATTACAACTTTTGTTTTTATGGAATATGGAAGTGAATAAGGTTCATATGGAACCAAATTTATAATACCTAACTAAAAAAGGGGTTGATTCTTTCACAAATCAATCCACCGAAAAATTAATGTGTATGCCCTTGTTTAAATTATATAGATTTTATGCATATGTTACCTCTTTAGGTTTGTTTGAAAACGAAGATGCTCCATGAGTCCATTCTTCCTCCTTTGTCCACGGATTTGTTTCCTAACATGACTCTATCAACTCTTTTGTCTTCTACTCCATTGGTGATGCCCCATACACGTCGATCTTCTTCCTAAAATACGTTATTGATCACCATTCTACCATATCCTCTTCTGCTCTCGCTTATTTACTAGATTTCCAACAAAGGATGGGGAATAGATGGGCTCATTTGAAGCTTCAGTAGCAACACATGCACTCAATCACGTTATCAAAAGTATGTATTACGGATCCCTTATACCCTTATGTTTCTGGTACATCAATTATGATTTTCGATTTAGATTTCTTTCGATCTTAGGTTTTCCTTTGCTTTTTTATTTTATTCTTCAGGGAATTTTTATGTTTTTGTTACCTTTATATTTCTTCAACACCAACTACAGGATTAGAGTGTTGATAAGGAAGTGTGAGTTGAAAAGTGGGTTGATCATGGATAAGAAAGAAGTTAAAAGGCAAAATAATAGATTGATGGTATTAGGAGGATGTGTTTTGTGAAATTATTGGGATAATAGAGGGTTAAACTCTTAAGAATAATCACATAAACGACCGAGGATTTCACCCACACCTTGAATGTGCATTAAAGGCTAATACCAAAATCTCACACCAAAATAGTGGATCTTCATGGTGCAATATAAATTTAAATTAATAAGGGGCATAATTGTTATTTTATTGAAAACTTCGGTGAAAGAAGCAAAAGTTGTTATGGAAGAATCAGCTTCCCTAAAAAAATCATATAAAATATTGAATGTTTATTATGAACATGGGTATGTTCATAACTGATGTATATATGTTTAAATATGAACATGTTTGTTCAGTTTTCAACATGAGTCAATTTTATGTGGTTTTTATGATTATGTTGTTATATGTTGAACCCTCTCCTACTAAAGGTTATGTATTTCGTCTAAATATTCCATTTCTTGCACATATAGTTTCTAAAGTGATTCATATCACAAGGTTTTTCGTGGCATTAATCACATTTAAAATGGACGTCAAGTCCAAAGTAAAATATTATATTACCTTCATTTTTTCCATTTCAGCATATTCATTTTCTTCAATTGAAACCCCCAAAGTATCTTCATCTACCACCACCAAGTACAAAAAAATTGGTCATCTGACCCCACTCCTCCGTATAATTGAAATCACACTTTTATGTATAGTTGAAACTAGACACTTCCCTTACTACATCACCATGTATCTTTATCATTGCACCATTTGTTGGAGTTTGTTAAGTGGTCAATTATATTTGCATATTGAACTACATCATCTCAACCACATCATTTCAGCATATTCATTTTCTATTACACATAAGGATGTTGTAATAGAAAATACTTCCATAGAAATTCATCATAAGCTCTTGAAGTTCTTCAAAATAAACCAAACATTCAAAGATTTCTCCTAATATCAACCAAGATTAATTTAGCCTAACATAGTGTGACATCCCCAAATTTCACGGCCAGAAAAGACTGATTTGTTTATGCTTTATTTGAAAATCATAGTATATTTTAAATAAATATATTGCAGAATTTGTTCCCAGAAAAACATGATAAATATATTATCAAAGCATTTCCGAAGAAATATATTTTGTTCATATTAAAACTTTGGGATGTCATCGTCAATACTGAAACATAAGCATAAACAGACCTTACATTTATTTACACTAGTGATCTACATCTCCTTTAAATCTCTCAGTGTAAAGTAGTTTCGTATCGACACCTGTGATACAAATAAACTTGAGTGAGTCAGGTTGGGAAACCTGGTGAGTACATAGGGTTTTCAACCCACAATAATATAATTATTATATTTAATCATCAAACAATCAACTCAATTACTCATCCCCATTAACTTCTTTAATCTTAAGGATCTACCCTAAGAATCATTTATCCTTCATTCCTATGGATTATCCTAAGGAATAGGCACGAAGTCCATCACTGCCCGAGGTTTATACTACAAGCACTAACGAACGTCGATCCCCACGTACTGATCTTATACAATGATCTTACAAGATCTAGCCTAAAGGATCGATATGAACAACAAACTGACGAAGCTGCTTCGGAAATTCCCTAGCAGCAAACGAGGATCAATAAAGACATCAAATGAGGGGAATGGAATAAGTTTTACCACGAACCTTTGTTCGTAAAAGAAAGAACCACAAGACAATTAAGTCAGGGGTAGTTATCTAGATAACAATGCCTAGCCGTGGTCCGAATATCGTGAGGTATTTTACCCCCAGACTCACCCTATCCAGCATCGAACTTTGCCTAGCAGTGGTCTGAATATCGTGAGGTATTTTACCCCCAGACTCACCTTATCCAGCATCGAACTTTGCCTAGCAGTGGTCTAAATATCGTGAGGTATTTTACCCCCAGACTCACCCTATCCAACATCATAACATCAGACATACCTAGTAGTGGTCTATTACCGACACACTTCATTAGGCAGTCTACGAAGTTCCCTCAATTACTTCGTGAAAGGAAACGCTAACATATGAAGCTCGTCCGATCACTTCATAAAAGAAACAAAGACTCCAAAGCTCTTCAAAATAAAAAGTATAGGGAAAATACTAATAAAGTACTCCCGTACGCTCCCGTACCCCGACACGTAATAGTGTCAAAAAGAAGAACTTTGTACATGATACTTATCGGATGAACACATAGTTCAAAAACACCTAATGAACACATAGTTCAAAAACACCTAATGAACACTTAGTTCAAAAACACCTACAGGTTACGAGTCTGCTAACGTTCCACTGGACTATCTAGAATAGTCTGTGGTCGTTTTCTATACTCTGCTAGATGATTAAATCATCTTAAACATCGATACCTCTCATCAATTTTTATTTCATCACAAATCATCTAATTCATCTACTCATGTTTTACCCAACATATTTGTAGATATAAAATATATATACAGTTTAAATAAATTAAAACATGTATAAAATTGTTCATCCATCATAGATAGCAAGTATACAGATAATATGCACACATATCACGTAATTTATATAAAATACTTCATATCTATGTGTAAGATGAAAATAATATGCACTCACAAGATAAGACGATGATTGGACAGCACTTCGTCCCTTAAAACAATATTATTCGATGAAACCGGGATGTTTTCTCAAAAACCGGGCTTCACGCGGGCAGAGTTTCGACTCGAAAACTCTTTTTCTCGGGATCTTCGGGGGGTCGGGACTTGCTTCGGGTGTCGAGGATGATACCGGGGCTTCGGGAGGGTTAAAAGTGGGCTAAAGAAGGTTTAGAGAGTGAGAGATATCAGAATTAGCAAACAAATCCTGAAGGCTTCGTTTTCTATTTATAGGGTGAAATTTGAGATTCACGACGTGAACCATGTATGTTCACGTCGTGAATTCGATCCTGGTCACCCCTAGGCTTGCCATGTGTCTTCTAGGATCGAAACGTGTCGTTCACTGAGTTCACGTCGTGAACATTGTGTTCACGTCGTGAATGCAGTCAAATTCTCGAAGTTTGTGCTCCGAACTTCAGAAATTCATATCTTTCGCATACGAACTCCGTTTTTGACGTTCTTTATATCCACGCGTAGGTGAAGTTATGCTTTACAGCTTTCGTTTAGACTCCATCGGCTAATTTTGATTTTATTTTTAATATTATATTAATATTATATTTTTAACGGGCCGGGACAGGAAAAGTCCGTTAAAATTTCATAACTTCTTCATCCGATGTCCGTTTTCGTCTGTCTTTTTATCGTTACGCTACTATTAACGAGATCTTCGATTCTCGTTTAGGTTGTGTCGGCTAAAACCGCTCGATCTATTATTCGAATTTCGGGCTGCATACTGCTAAGCCGAAACTTCGAAAAATCATAACTTCCTCATACGAAGTCAGATTTGGGCGTTCTTTTTATGCACACTCTCGGTTTAACGTATTCTACGACTTTCTTTTAGATCTCTAAGGCCAAATATCGCTCTATCGTAAATTCACTATTTACGTCGCGCTGTGTCGTGCCGGTTCTGTCGCGAAACTTCGACGGGTCATAACTTCTTCGTTATAACTCGGATTTCAGCGTTCTTTATATGTACGGAATCCTTGTAACATATACTATAGATTAGTTAACATTACTCCTTCTAAATAATCTTCTATCAAAAAGTCATTTTCGACGCTTATCGTCTCTAAATTGACTAGCCCGAATCTGCGGGCGTTACACATAGCTAAGTTTAAGCAAAGTAAACACATTACTCTAAGAAAACAAGATGAAAATCCTAATCTTTAAGTGTTCTTCAAGGGTCTTCAAAGCTCCAACAACTCCATGAGAAATGCCCTAACATATGATCCAAGATTTCCCAAAAGCACCCACCAAACTACCTTCAAATAGCCATAAAAGTTGAAAACCTGAAATTGCCCCTGCAGGAGCCACGCGGTGTCTTGACCTGCAGTGCAAAATCTCACACGGCCTCGTGAGGTGTGTCGATCGAGAAAGCTTTTGTTATCCCCCTTTCCTCTTTGGTCCAATTTTTTCCTCTTGCTTTGACTTTTTTGACTGATCCAAAAGGTCCAAATGTCGATACCAAGGAGCCCAAAACACATAAATATAGCCCAAGAGTTCATAACCCAAAAATTATTCAAAGACCCATCAATTTCTTAGCTTATAAATTCCATCTTCCAATCCATCAAGCTCAGGTTTCTTCTATACAATCTTCAAAGTAAGCTCCAACGATATCAATCTTTAATCCAACTTTCTTTGATAACCACCAACAATCCCGATCATTCGCTCGAACTTCGTTTGTCTTCCGAATCTTCCTCCACGCTCCGCTCCATTTCTCCAAAATATATGCAATAAATCTCAAAAAAAAACTCGAAAGTGCCCGATATAGATATAAAAATAACGAAAAGGAAAAAATATGGATGAGGATTAACTGAAAATAAAATAAAATATGATAAAATAAACTATAAAAATAAGTAAATAAAATGACACTATCAAATCACCCCAAACTTAAACCTTACTTGTCCTCAAGTAAGACAAGACTAAAATGAACTCGGGATGAACTAACCTAAAAAGGAAAAAAAAAAAAAAAAAGAATGAACATCCTAGGCAGAAATTCACGACAACGCCCTTAAAATAAAAATATATAATCCATTTTTAGAGATAAGAATCGCTTTAAGGGACGAGCCTTTGTTACACTCGTAGCAAGGGATACATGTTGAACGAGATACAAAACGAGCATGCATACTTCACTAATATGGGTTATGTAACATTTTGTTGTGTTCCAATCTAGCCCACAAACCATAAGAATGTGTTCCTCGGTTAGAATGTTCCTTACTTCCCACAACCTCCACCCCACGCCAAGGAATAAAACCTAGAAAAAGATATATCGGGCCAAAAATGGCAAGGAACGAGCTATGTACAAAGGTTTGAAAAACTACTGTTAGACTAGATTATTATTTATATATTGTTTTGTATTTATCTGGCCCATGATTCTGATTTGGGCCTAGTCCATGTATTTGCTATATATATTGTTCCTATTAATGAAAGGCTTTGGGGTGGGAATTATACCAATCAACTTGGTATCAGAGCTCTCCAAAATTCTCTCACCCTAGCCACATTCTTCTTTTTCCCTCCTGTTCTTCTCTTCCAAGTATATTCTCTGTTCTCTCGTTCTCATTCAATCTCCTCTTCTTTTTCTGTTATTTATCAACCATGGGTGAAGGACCATCAAACACTACACCATCAGAAAAACCATATGGCATATCCAACATCAAGGCTTCAATACCCATTATTCTTGATCTCGAAAAGCTGAATTATGACGCCTGGCGTCACCTCTTCCAAACCCACTGTAAGGGTTTTGGTGTTGCTGATCACCTCGAACCACCCAACGAAAAAGCTATTGCTGCTACAAACAAGGAAGAATGGGAACGTATCGACTCTATTGTCAAGATGTGGATGTTTGGCACTATCTCTGAGTCCTTGCTCCAGATGATCTTAAAGAAAGAGTGCTCGACATTCGAGATGTGGCAAGATTTTGAAGTGTTGTTCCGCTCCAACAAAGATGCTAAGGCGCTACAACTCGACCTGGAGCTCCGTAACATTACTCTCGGTGATTCTACCATTGAAGCCTATCTCACCCGTATCAAGACTATTGCTGATTTGCTTTCTAACATAGAAGCTCACGTGCCCGAAAAAAACCTGGTTATGTATGCTGTGAACGGGCTGTCTCGCAAATATGATCATGTTGCGAGTATTATCCGCCACAGTAGGCCTCTCCCGACCTTTCTTGAAACTCGTTCCATGCTTCTACTTGAATAACATCAACTGTTGAAACAAACCCCCTCTAATGGTGCCACTTCATTTTCTCCAACTATTCTTGTCTCGGAACAACAGCCAAATAACTTCTCCAATAATTTTCCTACCAATCGGGGAGGTTTCCATAATCGAGGAGCTCGTAATGGGGGGCGAAACGGAGGACGTGGCGGTAGAGGCAGAGGTCGTGGGGGCGGACGATGGTCTCATCAGCAACCGGCGGGAACATCTTCAACTGTTTAAACACCCCCTGGTTGGGGTTTCGGGTGGTTTCCGTTTAATTCCGTTGGCCGGGGCTTACTTTCATCTCCTGTTCCACAATCATTCCAGTCAGCCCCACAACAACAGTGGGCTGTGTCGCCTCAATTCCGCCCTCAAGTTCAACAAAGTTCATTGGTCCAACCAGATCATCAAGCATACTTTGTTCATCATACTGGCAACACTCCTGCTCCATGGGGTTGGTTCCAAACATCACCTCATACAGGCGCTCCTCAACCTACAGCTCTTCCACAGATGTTCAATGTCATGTCTCTTAATGATCCATCTCAAGATGGTTGGGTAATGGACACCGGTGCTACCTCTCACATTCATTCCAATGAGGTATACTTCGTTCTATTAGCAATAAAAGATATAATTTACCTTCGGTTTTGGTTGGTAATGGAACTAAAATTCCTGTAAGTAAGACGGGACACACTTTTTTATCTAACCCAAACCCATATCGTCCTCTCGTCCTAAAAAATGTTCTTATGACACCCGAAATTATTAAAAATTTGATTTCTGTTCGCAAGTTTACTCGTGATAATCTTTGTTCCATTGAATTTGATGCTTACGGTTTTTCTGTGAAGGATTTTCAAACCAAGCAAACACTCCTCCGATGTGATAGCACTGGTGATCTGTATCCGGTTACGCCTCATACACCTCAAGCTTTTGTTTCTGTTGACTCTACCGTTTGGCATCAACGTCTTGGTTATCCCGGTCAAGATGTTTTTAATCATTTATTTTCTTAAAAGTTAATTCCATGTAAAGACAATAAAAGTAGTAGCTTATGTCATTCATGTCAGTTAGGCAAGCATACTCGTTTACCTTTTCAATTATCAACTTCTGTTACATCTGTTGCTTTTGAAATTGCTCACTCTGATATGTGGACTTCTCCCATTCTTAGTAATTCTGGTCTCAAATATTATGTGTTATTTCTAGATCAATATTCTCATCATGTCTGGGTTTATCCCCTTAAAACAAAATCTGAGGTGTTTGACAAATTTTTGCATTTTCGAAATTAATATTAACAATCATTTTAAAAGTGACATAAAATATTTCCAGTGTGATAATGGAAGTGAGTACAATAACGCTCAATTTCACACCCTTTGTAATTCTCAAGGCATTTAAATGCGTTTCTCTTATCCGTATACCTCCCAACAAAATGGGAAGTCTGAACGAATGATTCGATCCATCAATAACACCATTCATACTCTTCTTTTTCAAGTTCGTCTTCCTCCTACATTTTGGACGGAAGTTGTCTTCATGGTTGTCTATCTTCTCAACATAACACCATCTACCACCCTCCAAAATATATTTATATATCAAAAATTGTTCAACAAACAACCTTCATATAAACATCTTCGGGTCTTCGGGTGTCTGTGTTATCCTCACATTCCCACTTCACATAAACTTTCTCCTCGGTCCACCCCATGTATCTTCCTTGGTTATCCATCTCAACACAAAGGATATCGTTGCCTTAACCTTCACACCAACACGATTATCATTTCCCGACATGTCACTTTTGATGAATCAATTTTTCCATATGGGTCCTTCACACCAAATTCCGCTCCATCATACACTTTTCTTGACACTTTTGACTATCCTAATCCTGTTGCATCTCAATTTTTATCAAAGCCCATAACTTCTGCTCCGATCACCTCTCTTGACCCTACTCCACCGAGTTCGCCTCCTCCAGTGATTAACGAACCCTTATCGTCTGCTGATTCTTCTTCGTTCAATAGCCCCTACTTTACCACTGTATCATCTCCGTTGTCACCCAATAATTTTACTTCCTCCGCCACTTCCACTCATCCTATGGTTACCCGTGCTCGTGCCGGTGTAACGCCCCGTTCGAAAAGTACTTATTTATGAACTTCCGAGATCAAGAGTAAGGGCGCTTCGGTCTTTTATGGGCAATGGGTTTTATTCGAGAAGGTTTCGGGTCGGGGTGTGTTGCTAGAAGCATAGGGCTTCTCGCCACCTTTTCGTGGATATAAAGTTCGTCGGAAGCGGACTTAGAATAAAGGAGTTATGATACTTTGAAGATATTGACATTTATAGCCCTTAATGGGAAAAGTTGGCGAGGAAGGTCATGCATGCCTTTGGGACACGCGTGGGTACGCCCAGCGTAGGCTGGGTTACGCCCAGCGTAATAGGGTGAATGACCGCGGGTGCAAGGACGCGTACGTCCAGCGTACTAGAGTTACGCCCAACGTACGCTCAGAGTCTTAAAACCCTAATTTTAGGGCCAGCCACTATATAAGGAACATTATGGTTCCAACCCTAGCCTCCATATCTGCCCTCTTACTCTCAGAAACCCTAAGTAGCCGTTCTTCTTCCATTGTTGTGGATATTTGACCTTGTGGAGCTTAGTTGGCAAAGGAAAGCTTCGAAGAAGAAAGAAGAGGTTGGCAAGAAGAAACTTGGTGGCTGGAGCTTGTAGATCCGAGATAGCATCACCCTTTGCAACCACTTGAAGGTATAACGCTTCTTTCTTGACATCATTTTTGTGTAGATCTATGTATGGTGAAGTTTTGACACCATTCTTGTCCCAAAACCCCCATCTTGATGTATGATGTGGTTTGGTTAAGATGAGTTGTCCTTTCAGACCATTCGAGAGGTCTTGAGTAAGAAAAATGAGTAAGAGCTTTATGGACGTCCAAAAGGATAAAGATGAGACTTTATGAGTCCTATGCCCTTTGTCACTGGATCTAGCAATGGGGCTAAGTGCTTAAGCCATTAAGCACTTGGAAAGATTTTTGGGGTACAGACGAGCGTACGCCCCGCGTACCAGAGGAGTGCGCCAACGTACGCCCTCTGTTTGGGTTTTTGATTTTGGCCTTAGGTGATTGGTTGTTTATGGGCTAGTGGGCTTGGGCCGTGACTGAACATTATGGATGGAATGATTTAGGACCCAATAATTATTATGGACCTTGGATCTAGGCCCATTTGGTGAGGTGGGCCCAATTAGTAAATTGGGCCAATTGGGCTTGCATGAGAATTGGTTGTGGTCTTGGCCCAATAAGGATGATGGACTTAATGAGTGTTGTGGGGCCCTTGGCCTAGAAAGTCATGATGGATTCTAATGTGATGATTTGCATGTGATAGTTGGGATTCCGGCGGGTCAGCAGTCAGAGATTTGCAGGATTTCGGCAGCCACAAGGTGAGTTATCCTCACTTTATCGACAGGGTCTACGACACCAAGACGGCCCTTTATCGGATGGGAATCCGGGATTGTTGTTATGTTATTGCTTGCTATGTTTGCATCCTGGTAGTTAGGATGGTATGCGTTAGAGACCTGGTTAAGGTCGGTACCCGAGATATAGGGTAATGTTATGCTAGTGACCGGTGTTGGTCGGAATCATGGTTAGGATTGATAGCTATGTGATCTGTTAGACTGCTTGTCTGGTTAGAGATTTGTTATGTGATTGATTGTTTTATGTGCACTGGTTGTTTGACGGGGGTTGGGTGAGGTGGGTGGGTCCTGCTTAGTGCTGTAGGCCAACATACCAGGGCGGATCGATATTCCGAAGGCCCAGCGAGCGGTCCGGATAGGCTGAAGGCCCCGAGAGGGCGGACCAGACGTGCCGAGCTCGGAGAGTGGACCAGGCCGACTGAAGGCCCGGTGGGGCGGACGGACCAGTCATATGTAGACTCAGAGAGTGGACCAGGTGGATTGAAGGCCCAGTGCGGGCGGACCATCACACTGTAGACTCGATGTACATGGCTAGACTCGGAGGGTGGACCAGGTGGACTGAAGGCCGGTGCGGGCGGACCAGTCACACAGTAGACCCGATGTGCGTGGGCTGTTTTATGTGATATGATATGAGTATGTATGTGTGGTTGGTATTTTGGGGGTAACTCACAAGCTTTCGGGCTTACAGTTGTAGTGTTATGTTTCAGGTACTTCAGGGATCGTGGCAAGGCGAAGGTGTGATCGTACCGCTCCTTCATGTTTTACGATTTTTATGATATGGTTCTGGGGGATACTCTGATAATAAACTATTTTGAAAACGAGATGTATGAAGTTAATGGTTTTTGAATGAATGAAAATGTTTTAATTTGACTCAATTTTTATGGCTGTTACAGCCGGTATCCACAAACCGGTTGTCAAATTAAATCTTTATACTCAGTCCGTCTCCTCTGTCCCTCGCACTTACTTACAGGCGTTTAATGATCCGAACTGGCTCAATGCCATGAAAGATGAATTTAATGCTCTTATTTCTAATAAAACATGGGTATTGGTTCCTAAACCTGTTGGCGCAAAATATTGTTAATTGCATCTGGTTATTTAAAAAGAAAGAAAATGTTGATGGTTCTTTAGCTCGCTATAAAGCACGTCTTGTAGCAAATGGTCGCAGCCCGGACCAGGAATCGACTGTGACGATACTTTCAGCCCTGTAGTCACCCGGCCACGATTTCGCACAGTCTCAGTCTTGTCGTGTCTCAGCATTGGCCGATTCGTCAACTTGATGTAAAAAATGCCTTTTTACACGGGCATTTACAGGAGACAGTATATATGCATCAGCCTCCGGGGTTTCGTGATCCATGTTATCCTGACCATGTTTGTCTTTTGCAGCGCTCTCTATACGGTCTTAAACATGCCCCACGTGCTTGGTTTCAGCGGTTTTCTCACTTTTTGCTTCAACTCGGGTTCACTAACAGCCATTGTGACAATTCCTTGTTTATTTTTAATCAGGGATCTCAGATTGCTTATTTACTTCTGTATGTGGATGATCTTATTCTTACTGCCTCGTCTACAAAGTTTCTACATCAGATAATTGTACTTTGGGAAGAGTTTGCTATGAGGATCTTGGAGATCTCAACTATTTTTTGGGAGTGTTCGTGGTTAGAGATTCAAAGGGCATGTTCTTATCTCAGCACAAGTATGCTATCGAAATTTTATCTCGAGCCAACATGCTTAACTGCAAACCAGCTAAAACTCCTTCAGATACTTTAGCCAAATTGGATGACTCCGGTCAACCTGTCTCTGACCCTTCCATGTATCGTAGTCTTGCTGGAGCTTCTTCAATATCTTACGTTTACCAGGCCTGATCTTACATACGTTGTTCAACAAATATGTCTATATATGCATGATCCTCGAGAAACATTTTTTATAGCTCTTAAACGAATCTTGAGGTATGTTCGAGGCACTGTTGATCACGGCTTGCACACTATACTCTATGCCCTCTCATG